GAAAACCGCGCATGCGACACATACGCACCAGACAGGATCGCAAGGTTGTGCCTACCACCAGAAGCAAGAGACCTTGCCCGCTTAAGGCATTGCTCATCGTAGTTGATGAAAACGGAATCTCTCCTCGACGAGTTAGAGTGCAGTTCTAACATTCTGCGTCTCCAAGCCTCCCGGATGACATGTTTGACAGGTTGAAGCCTGCCCTGAAGGTCACCTTCAAAGGACACATCACCCCTGCCCGTCCAGACAAAAGATCTCACGACCGAAAAGCCAAGATCAGACATGAAAGCTCTGAGACGAGCGACCGCCAAACTGACGTCCCACCTTTGCAGAGACAGACCCCCTTTCTGGACGCCGCGCCAAAACGCCGCGAAAGCCGCCACGCCAAACATGAAAGACAAGTCCGAGGCATGGCCCGACAAGACTTTTAACAGGGGGACGGACGCCTGACGTAACCCTACACCCAGAGCCCGCCAGGCAGCCTCGAGCCTGCGCGTGTGAGTCTTGCAAAGCACAAGCGCGGCCCACAAGGAGCCAGCGCAACCACACCAGAGAAGCAACCAAGCAAGCAAGCAACCTAATCAAGAGCCCGAGGAAGCGGCAAACAATTCACGTGGGATGAAAGGTTCCCCAGAGCTTTTAGTGGAGTGTGCTCAACCAACGATGCAGAGCAACGTAGTCAACCTGTTGGCCTTTGACAACCCAACCCCACCTGGCAGAGAGCGCCAAGCGAGGCCGAGGGCAATAGGACCCTGCCGGCCTACAAGGACAAAGCCACGCAGCATGCTCCCAAGTGCCTAGCTCCACACAAGGGTGCCAGATACAAGAAGTAGCAGGACGAACAGCCATGCGACCACCCAGGGCCGCAGGAGACCACGTGGCGCCACAGGCCACAGTGCGAGCACAAGGATTACTATAGGCCCACTTACGCGTGGCGTTCCAGTCGATTCTTTGAAAGTAACGACGGGAGGGCCCGAAACAATCAGTTGCATCGACGTCACGCCTACCGGTAGCAACGTGTTGACACAACGCCCAAGCACGCCAAGCCTGGCGAACAACATGCTGCAACCGACCTACATCAGGACGACCATCAACAAGATTGATGACACCACCAGTCAAGTGATGATGCCATATCCACGGTCGTTGTCTCGTCCAACCACGACGCCGCAACCAAGTATCAAGAGCGTGGGAAGGCGACCCAGTAGCAGCAACCCACTTAAGGGCCCTCTTCAAGCGAGCACGTGCGCAGGTGCCAACCAAGCGAGTAGCAAACACAACATCAAGGTGAGTGTTGCCCCCAAACAAGGCCGCACGTAACCAAGGAGCAGCCGACACCATGCGACGAGAACCAACATGAACCGCCGCCCAGATCTTCTTAGAGATCTTTAAGGTAGGCCAGCGAGCAACCCAACCATAAGCCGCTTTACTCACAGCATACAGCGGACAGCGTTCATATAACGAGCAAATGGCAAGCGGATATAAGACAGCAAGCGCACCGTAGTCAAGCAAGCATCAACCCGCTGTGTTTCCTTGGGACCAACCGCCCTCTGGTTGGACATAGTGGTGGCACCAAGGAGCTCAAAATCGGTTTTGGACAGTGTCACTCTTGCGGCAACCTGAGCGCGGAGGACTGCCGAAACGCCGCCGCCCACTTCCCGAAGCGTGACAAGACGACGACGAAGTCGAAACGAGCGCGTCGTTGCCGTGCTGATAGAACTTTCTCGTGCAAACACGCGCAAACCCGCAACTCACAAGAGGCCCGCGGAAGACTCAGCAAAACTCACCTCGGCAGGAACCTCTGAGCCGCACAACCGGCAAACAAATCACTAAAGACGAAAGCTTGCTCAGCTGGCCAACACTTCTCTTCAATGTCTTAAATAGCCATCGATGAATCGCGCCGAAGTCAGCATTCGGCCCTCTAAATATGATCCGAGCAAGGCCAAATGCAAGCCGTAGAAGGCTGAGCGTTCACAAGACCATGAACAGCACGGCTCCAAGTGGCACCGCAAGTGCCGTACGAGCGCAATGACGATGTCTAAACGTGCACTTCTGAGTGGCATCCCCGTCGATCCTATGAAAGCTCCCGGAGGAGCAGAAGCAACGTTGATGACACAGCGCTAATGTGATGATGCCACACACAAGGCCGCTAAATCGCCCAACCCGGTCAAGAGCATGAGACGGAGAGCCAATCACAACAACGCCCTCTTCAGCACGGGCAAGAGTGCAAGATGCATGTTAAACACAGCCACACGTAGCCCAGCAAAGCAGGAACCATGCGACGAGAACCCAAATAAAGATGTACACACTCGCCGGATGCACCATGTGTGGTGCGACCAATCGCCAGCAAGGACAGCCGCAAGACTGGGTAGCCAAGACTGGGTGGCCGATCCGTGTGCCTGCATCAACAACTGCTTAGCTGCAGCAGTGCGCAGCAAGCCAAAGGACAGGAGTCCTCCTGCAAAAACCTGTCGACCATATGCAAGCAACGACTTCTTCAGTGGAAGCTTTGGGCCCAACCGCACATTCACAAAGGCTAGTAACACACATCAGTCACCTGCAGAACAATCACCAAGCACTGAGAAAAGCGATCAGTCCGCGATCAGAATCGGAAGTCTTCCCAGCCTTCGACAACAACCTGAGAGCGATTTTGAATGTGTGGGTTCATTGGCATGCTTGTTAAAATGGTTTGCAGCGTCACTTGAGTTTCAGGGGGTTGGTATAGGGTTCGAGAGACTGCAAGTGCTGCATGTCCCATGCCTAGTGGGCAACGTAATTCACAAGCACACAGCCCAGCAGGCATCGCGCTGGCAACAAGAGCGTCGTACAAAGCACAAATGCTTCAGGGATCATCTGGATGAGAGAGGAATGCTAGACGATGTTTGGAAACAGCACCCCCAGACACACGCAGGGAACGCATGGGAACAGGACGAAGGAATCCATCCTCCCATCCTACTTGCTGGCCGCTTGATGTCTTGAGGCCTTGAGGGTTTGTCGATAGCACGGAGCTTGTCACCAACAAGCAATGGACACCATGCGCGGCAGAGCACCTGCTAATGTATTGGTGGGCACAGGATGAGAAGAAACACATTTTTGCTTCCTTCCGAGGGTGCTCGACAGTTTTCGAGCCTGACATCCACACGTGGATCCCTGGAGCTAGAACTATCCGAAACCTGATGCCAACCGTCCGACATCAAAGCTCCCCGTACACCTGATCTTTCTGACCAAGGCAGAATCGCGAAAGCCAGTTGCGACACAGCCGAACACAGAACTAGCCCGGACATTCTTAACGCACCAAGCAGCTGCTGCTTGGCGCAGTGAGATATGCGTAAAGCCGCCCCATCTAAATTGGCTTACCACGCCGGCGATGGGCCCCCACCGAAACAGGCGGAGGTTGGTAACCAAGCATGGGATGACATGTCTGGCACCCTGTAGCCAGCACACAGAAAACCAGCTACCAAAACTCTCGAGCTGGAACGGTTGGTTAATTTCGTGTGTCTGGCATTAGTGCCAAGGATTTGGCATTCCTGCGTTCGTGGCTCCGCGGCTCCAAACGTGACAGCTATGGATCCTGATGCCAGAGAACAACATCTGCAGCTTCAGGCACAGAGTTCCGGGGTCGGCGGAAGATTGGCCCAAGCTCACATGCACGAATGTCAAGCAGTATCTGCTTCCTCACACGATCACTTCTGTGCTAGTTGTGTGTCAAAACCCCGCCTGATCGGAACCATGGCACAACCACAAGCAGAAGGCACCCTCACTTCCTCTGCGCTGAGTGATTTGCAAACAGAATGCTGGACTGCGCAAGCGGAATCGAGTACATCTGAAGTTGACAAACCAACAAGCACAGAGCACACCAACAGACAAGCTTGGAGCGTGGCGTTGAGAACCTCATGTTTGCTGCAGGCAGGTGGGAGGAAAACACAGCATTATGGTCTGCTGTTAAAGACATCTATGCATCCTACATGCTGAATTGAATGGTGCCTGAATACAAAAGTGAAACAATAACTGCTGCTGGCCAGCCAAGGGACAGCAAAATATGTAAAAGACACATAAAAGAGGAAGAGAAGCTCCCACAATTGTGAGATCGCCCTCCTTTGGAGCAGCTTGGGAATGGCAAGTAAGCTCTCAGACATTAACATGTATTCGTTACTTCAACGCAAGCTTCTGGACTTGTGAGTTTGAGGCCAGGCTGCAGTGGGGCAAGCACATTCTCCCAGTTCGTCCCGCCGGAGATACACATGAAAAGGCTGACCATGGTGCCCCAAAGCGAGTCGTAGTGCCTCTGAGCGGCCTGAATTTAACACAAAAGAAACTCCAAAAATAAAGAGGACCACAGCTCACCGGCCCCCGCCTCGAAAGCCATGTCCGGCATGGGAGGATTCTCTGGGTCCACGAGGTAGCTGTTGACTGCCTGACTGAAGAGCACACCTTAGCAGCGAGTCGCAGGCGTTAAAAGGCCGCCCGTTTCTCGGCTCAAACGGTCACGGGGTACTGAGGCAACGGCCGAAAACATAGACGATCAGGACCATAAGCATCAATGCCCAAAACAAAGATTTCAGCGTATGGAATATGGAGCTGATCAAGGTGCGGAGCGCTCTGACGAAGCGGAAGACACGCATCAACCGAACTGCCTTCACAATCCGGGCCAGCCGCAAAATCCGCAGGGCTCTTAAGCTTGAGACCGGATTGTCAGGGTTGGCGGCGCCCGTGCTCGAGGCATCCCATAGGAATATCAAATCCAGTGCAATATCCCAGATCGAGCTCACTACAATGAAAGCATCCAGCAAGGACCAAAGCCAGTCTTCTCCACAAAAGAATTCTCGACAGCCATATGCACACAGCCGCATAAAAAGCTCCAATGTAAACATGAAAGCCAGGCTGTACCTGATGTTGCTGGTTATACAGGCACGCACAGAAGGCAGTAGTCAAAAGGCGAAGCCTGTTGCTTGCCAAGGCACTGAACAACATAGAATTCAACCGGTGTGGAATCCGGCTGCTCGATGGCATGTTGCACTTCAATACCAATGAATGCACAGTTCAGCAGAACCAGAACCGCAAAGAAGCAATCGAAGCTCACAGCCTGCACGTTGGCAGAAAGCTCTACACTCAGCACACACTGATGTTGGTTTGTAAAACTTTGTAAGCCAAAACTTATGATACACTTCATGCTCGCCTCGACGATTCGCTCGATGCAACTGGCATTTACATCCTCGGATGACTCCCCCCGCCATCGAAGAGAAGCAAAGCGCCGTCGAGCCCGCGAAGCCGTAATGGCCGATGCAGCATAGCGCAGTGAGCTGTCGATTTGCGTAAACGTGCGGAAGAATCTCGGTGACGTAGAAGCCTCAGTCAGAAGGTGGGGTTGGACTGCTTCATTCTGCAATGCGTACGTACGAGAGACCATAGCAGATTCTGCTGTCGAGAACGCAAAAGCTGTGTCTATACTACTCCGGACACTCGATTCACCATGGTCAATTGCTTCGTTGCCTGCTTACCCTGCACCACGCCGAAAACACACCAGTGCTACACATGCAAAAGTCAGCTCATGATAAGCCAGCCGCTTTCGTTGAACGAAACAGAATCTAAATTTAAAAACGAAGCCGACGACAGACAACATCATTTTCGAGTCACCGGAAGCTTTGCATGTGCTTGCCCTTCTCTGCCCTTCTCTGCGGGCAAGCGGCTCTGGGCTTCACTTCGGAATCCCTGCTGGCATGTCGGGAGCTTCTTTGCGTACTTCTTGTGCTTCGCATAGTCTGCTTTGAAACTGACGGATGGGGGCACAGACCTCGGCCGGTTGACACCGGAGGAGGCCCGAGGCTTTGAAGGCCTGACTTGAGTTCTGCTAGCAGCAAACTGTGACCAGATGTGTATGCTGGTGAATACTGAATACTCGTGATGTCTTGGAACCTTCTAAGAGAGGGAGGGCTTCACGCTCAGGCAAGGAGCTCGCTGAGCCCACCATTTGTTCGTTGTCGCCAGAGACAAGCCCCACCTGCCACCAAGATGTGCACTTAGCTGTAGCTCTAACTCAGGGAGCATGGGAGCAAGAAAGGCTACCAAACGTCGCAAGCATTGTTGAACCGTGCTGTCGTGCACCTCCTTGCCGTGTGCATCTGGCATCAGCACACGGCGAAGAATCCTCAGTCTGGATGCGATAAGCCGATAAGCTGAGAAGCCTTCTCCGTCACTCTCTCCTTCTCTCTCCGATGCAGGACTGACGCTCCCTGGCCAGGCGGCTCTTCTTGAGCCGTGAGCCTGGAGATGACCTGCCGGCAAAGCCAACACACAGGCCTGGCTCAACGTCAAAACCAAGAAACAACCTACCATACGACCGTGTCCCACTACGTTAAGCTTCTTTGAGGTGGGATGGCTCTTGTTCAACAAGTCTTTGACAATAAAGACAACTGCATGCAGCAAGCTTCTCAAGGGTCGAAAAATTCAGTCTTGAAACGAAGCCTTTTTGATCAGGCCACTTATCTTAGGAACATTCAGCATCGGTCGTTGGCATGGAAGTTGAAACGGCAAAGAGCACTGCAACGCTGGTGAAGCAGTAGCCGGCCTCTGTGTGCTGTGCCGTCAGGACTTCAACCCTGGCAGTGGAAAGGACAGAAGCCAAGCTGAACCATGGGTGTACACTAGCTCACAGGAAAATCCC